ATTCAATTAAAAAATGGAAATTAAGAATGTCATTTAAGAAATAAAGATAATATTATACAAAATGTAAAAAAAGACTATTATCCGATTTGATGTAATAATACTGCTAAATTTAATTTTAATTAACTTCAGTTAGCATCAAAATATATTAAAGTTTTATGGTGTTGAATAAAAATAATATTTATAAAACCATAAAATAAAAAATATTTTTGTTTCTTCAAAAATTGTAAAATATTATTTTTCACATTTACTTGCAGTATTCGATTTCTATCCTTCAATTGTAATGAAACGCCGTAATACCTTGGCGCTTTTTATAGGAGGGGAGTCCCACCACGGGGCCGCAACCCCCCGCGGATCCTGCGACAGAAGAGCTGATGGTGGCAAGACAGGGAACACCCCGACCGCCACCCGTTCGACGTTCCAAATCACGACGTCTACCTCCTCCGCCTCCACTGCCACCGCCACCCCCGGCGGACAACACCACGACGGACCCAGAGGTACGTTTGCGTCGCCCTCTTCCTGCGGAGCTCCTTCTTATCGACGAAGACTCCGCTCGTTTACGTCGCCGGAATCGCCACAGACTTCCACGAGAAATTCTGCAAGGTATTTCGTAGGGTCGTCACCCTAGTAGCTATCATAGCTATCTAGCTCGCATATCATTTTTTTTTTCGTTTATCAATAAAACTTCTATTTCTTTACATATATCAATTATGTTTCTCTTTTTTTTTCACAAGTAAGTTTATTTCTGCTATAATTTTACGTAATATATAGAATTGTTATATATAATTTTATGTAAATATACGCTGTCTTATAAGCACTTTTAGAAAATAATGTATTATATATTTTTTGTTCGCTTTAGTGACTCCCGGTGCGGTCGATTTCTCAATAGAAGCTGTACATATGGACGTGCGGTGTCAGCGAATTTTCTTGCTTTTTCTGCGCTTCCGTCTGCTTCTATACTAGAAGCGAACTTTCCGATTAGATACACCTGCACTCTCGAAATTTGCGTCAAATGGCCGATAATTTACAAAAATCGCAATTTAGAACGGAAGAAGCTTTCTATGCTTTTACCCACTACAATTTTAACGCATGATCTTTTTTTTACAGAAAAAAGCTTCTTATTTAAAGTAAAAAGTTTGAATTATATACAATTAGAGGAGAGTTACTGAATATATATCAGTCGCCTAAATCATACTTTATATGATCATATAACAATATTTTAATTTATATTATTAATATTTTATATTATTATTTTACATTGTTATCATTTAATATAAATAATATTTAGTAATAAAAATATAAAAATAAATGAGTACACAAAAATTTAACATGTTATGTTTTGTTTTGTATGTATAAGCAGCACTTTAAAAATCATATGATGTTAATTTATGATCGATTTATATAACTAATAATATAATCACAGTTTTAATCTGAATTTTTATACATTCATTAAAAGAAGGGAAAGAGGGAGGAATATTATATAGAATATTATAGTAAATATAATAGAATATTATAGTAATATTATAGTAGTTAAAAATATTTTATAATCGTTGTGTGTATATATGCATATTTGTAATTATTAGAAAGATTAAATCAATATTTTTGTAAAATCTATCATTTTTCTTAAATCGTACTCATAAGATAAGACTGATAATAAATAATAATAAAACTGATAATAAGTAAATATCAATACAAATCACAAAAAAAATTTTAAATAATTTTCATTCATAAATTCAATATTTTCAAAGTAAATATAATTTAGAAAATAAGTCATATTTTATAACAAATTTTAATTTGGTAAAAAGTTGAACATATAATAATAGCAAATAATGAAATCAAACTCCTCAATATTTAACAATTAAAGTATAAAATATTTAGGGAAGTAGGAATCTACGCGGTAGTTAATATATAATTGAAGAGCGGAATAAAGGCACAATTCTACTTAGGCTCTTTTTCTGGCAATTAGCTTTTTCATGTATATTGATCATGTAATATTGATCGTAATACAGAAATATTATAATATGTAATTTCTTAAAGACATTACATAGATTCATTTAATATTGTACTCATTTGTGTATAATAAAAAAGAAGCAAGTTATTTTAATTTATATTAATATCAAGATTTTGTAATTAGGCCTTTATTCCGTCCATTCCTTCAATTATAATAGATAAAATATCAAAATACAGTTTCCAATATTTGTGTATAAATCAATGTCAAGTGGAAAATATAATAAAAAAGTTTAAGTGATACGTATTTGGCAACTCTTCCCCACTAATATTACATTACTTAGTAACTACCTGATGTACAATTGTTTGATGATTATTGACGGATCTGCCAATATCTTATCAAAATAATATTATAAAGTTCAACAAGTACATTCGCACAAGTATCTAATTATATCAAGTTTTATTAAAAAGGTTTAAATTAAATAAATATGTTTAAAAAAAGATTTTTTCTGAAAATTCTACTAATGCTCACCCTAACACTTCTTCCAACACTTCAAACACGTCGCTTATTTTTTTCAGAAATAAGTGATTCAAACCAATTCTCACGATAGAACATCCGTGGATTAGATTGCGGCGACCCACGATTTATTTGATAGATCGACAAATTTATTCATTGAATAATATATGCTTTCCCCGACTTGCTTTTTATTGCATAGAGTGCAATAAATCTTTTTCGCATTCAGAAGTTAGAGCGTTGGCGTGAAGCTCTGGACGAGATCATAATGCTTGTTCTCGAAAGACGTAGTTGGTTAGTGTGTTGTGAGTTCGGTTGTGTTAGTATCTGAAACAGGCAAAGAAGAAATACATGCATTAGTTGTGTTTGTGAATAAAATTTGCCGAATGACAACACGCGAGTTGCATAAGAAAAAAACAGAGATTAAAAAAAAAATGTAATTTTACAATGTAATAAAGTTGATCCTTATTATGTATTAAAAGCATACGCGATGAATTTCTCACAGTGGAAAATAAAGATAATGACAAATTTTATGAGCTAATTATCGAAATCTTTTAAACTAATCTTATTGAAAAATATAAATAGAGTTCTTTTGAAAAAGATTTCTTCAATAAAGGATGCGCTGTTACTTTCTCCTGTAAAGTTCTTGCTATACATTTGACGCGAAAGAGTATTGCGTTTTTAGATTTGAATTAAGTTGAATTAAGTTTTAAAAATGTATTTTAAAATATGAAAATAACTTTGGAGGAGAAGGGAAAGTAAAAATACAAGCATATGAAAAGATATATATTTTTATTATATCTAAACGTAGATTTGTCTATTACACTGTGTGTTATCTAATTTTAACTTCTAAAATTTTCCAAAAGTCACATGAGTTTGATTGTGTGAATACAGTTCTTTATTATTTTTCCAAGGAATTTGGCAAAGTTAGATTTTATAAGAATAGGATTTAACGATTTAAAATTGTGAATTTTAAGGGGTAATACAAGTAGTGTATTTTTAAGATATTTTAAAGTCAAATAATCACAAATACATACATGCAAAATTTATTTGTCATGAAAAAAGTTGCATCTGTATGTTTGTACCACGTCCGTTGTGTGTGCGTGTGTGAGTATTTGTGATCATATTTGGCTTCAGTCATAAATATCGCGTACTCCTCAAAATTCACAATTTTAAATCGACGCCTCATTCTTATAAGATATAACTTTGCCAAATTCCTTGGGGAAATGATAGAGGGTCGTGTCCCTGACACAAACCAAACCCATGTAATCTTTGAAAATTTTCGAGCATACCATGTTATCTTTTTTGTATAATTCATAATTTTTATTGGATATGATAATCACTGTAACTTTTTAACTTACCGTGACTTCAAATTAAGATCAGAAAAATTAATAAGCTTATTTTTTTCTGCACTTAATATGACTTTCATGATGTCTGTAAATTCACAGTGGGTTCTAATAGTTTCGAGATCAGAAGTTTGGAGATCAGAAAATATATAGAATTCGATGTTGGGCTATATACCACCAATTGCCTCTTTATCTTAATTACGATCTAATGACTGCAGTATGCCAACAATTAACGAGACCATCAATTTCGAAAATTTACGTCAATGTACTTGTGCACTTTATAACCGTTATAATCCTATCACAAAGTTCACAAACATACTAGTCATTGTAAGTGATAAAATGGCTAGTAAATCGCTCATAAAGCTACTTGTCCCGTTCAGGCGAAGTTCTTTGAAATTGCCTCGAAACCGAAGAAGTTTCGAGCTATGTGCTTTGTATGCATATGTGAGCTCTCTAAGCGATCAAGGATACATATAGATAAAGAGAAAAACGGTGAATACCATAATTTTCTAGAGATTTATCGAAATAAAATTATCTTAAACTTTTATCTAAAGATTTATTACTATTATAAAAGAAATGTTCACATTACTTTAATAAAAATGTCCTGTATTTTCGTTTTATTTTTATCTTTTAAGTGTACATAAAATGTTATAATGTAAAGAAAACAACATATTTCTTTGTATAAATGAATGAATAATTAAATTTTGCTATGTATTTATGAACATTTCCAACACATCGTTCATAAAATTGAAATTTGGTAGTGCAATCGACTCGAAGTTGATAAAATCGTAATCAATTTCGTGTTATTATCAAGCAGATCAAGTGGAAATTACATTCGGTGTTTGCCATAACTCTTTGTGATATCGTGAATGAAAGAGAAAAGTGCAAAATGAGAATAAGCTCGATGGCCTAGGAAAAAGTTTAAGTTTCATGAGTTTGAAAATTTTCGAAGAGAGAAAAAGCAACTACAAAGAACAGAAATGTATCAAAGTCATGCATCCCTTACCTAAAAATATAACTCATCGTACGATGGCTCTTTGTAGAAATGGACTTATGTATGTATATCTTTCGGTACATAAAAAAAACTGAGATTGATATTTATAACCGAAAGTTTTACGATCCTACCTAGGTCTCTCTTTTTATTCTTCAACTGCATTACAGAGAAGAAACTTCTACGTAACTTAATAAAATATGGAAATAAATATACTTTTCTGTGATTTTGATTAACAAGGAAAGGGATCCAAGTGTTCCCCTCTGATTTTAATGAATTTTTAGTTATATAATTAGTAGAATTAACTAGTAGTAATATAGTAGTTATTAGTTAGTAGAACTTATAGTTTTGTAGACAAAAATAAAAGACGTGTATCTTTTTATACGTGCCATATCGCGCTTTTAAAGAATGAAACATTTCTTAGAAAAAAAAAGTTTTTTCTTTCGAAATGAATATCATCGAAACTATAAGAGATAGAAAAAAAAGTGTGAAAGTTGAATGATTTTATAAGAGTACTTAATAGTTATAATTAAAAAATTTTTTCATTTTTATTTTCTATAAATAAAAATTTTTTATTGAAAAAAAATTTTTAACTATTATTATAAAAATACTCTTGAAATCATTTAACTTTTATTTTATATATTTGTTCTATTTCTCATAGTTTCTATTTCTCATAGTTATAACGATATTCGCTTTGAAAGAAAAAAATCAATTTTTTTTTTAAAGCATATTTCATCTCTTAAAAATGCGATAGAACACGTATTAAAGAATATGTGTTATTATTTTTGTCTATAAATAACATATTCAAAGCTCATCAAAATCAAAATATAACATTGCAAAATTTGAATATGAAATTTGAATTATGAATAATTTCAATTATCTCCCTTTCAGATAAAATTAAGTCTACAAATTATATATTTATTTATAATATATTCTATAAAAAATAAAAAATATTAACTTAATTACATTTAATCTAATTTTATTATAATATATGCTTATTGCAATGTTTACACAATTTGGTTACACTTTCATCGTTCTATTTGAGTAAAGAATTATGCTTCTTTACTTATGTGTCTTAAGGTCCATTAATATATTGTACTTATATCGGAATATGATGAGCAATTACTGCGGTTCTCTGCGGTATTGCGGATAAGAGTACGTGCTTATTTGCTACCTTTGTAACAGGCTCCGTGACCTTTGAAGCTTATATCGAGTTAGTTCAAAACTCGATTGTAGAACAATGACGTAAGGCAATAGGAAGCTTTTGACATCGTTGGATGGCCTGGCATTACCATGTTCATGTCACGTAACTAGGGGTAGTTTGTCTTCTAAAAAAAGAATCATGTAACTTATCAAATCTGTTTATTGATTACAATTTTTCTTTTTTCACCCTTGTAATTTATTTCCAATTTAGCCAAATTTCAGCTTATTATGCTGGAATTCTAAGGACATGATAAAATGTTTAAAAATATGAAATTGTGCCATATGATTGAAATATCATGAAAAATTGATTATATATAAATGCTTAAATGTTGAAAAATATTTTATCAAGAAAATAAAAATAAAATAATAAAGCTATATATTAATAATAACAAATAAATCAAAATAATAAATCAGATAGAAATCAACTATTATAACAAACTGTAGAATCAAAATTAGTAAAATAGATTTTATCTGACAGTTACTCACTCAAAAATTTTGCAATTAGAGGGACTTTCTTTCTGCACTTTGTTTTTGCACTATAAATGTACTGTTTGCAACATTGCAACGACTGTATTAATAACATCATAATTTGAACATCGCTGAAGATAGCTCGAATGTAGCCGAAACATACGATTTAGATAATGTTATGAAAAGTATGACGTATATATTTT